CGAGCTACAGACCTACTTAAAAAAAAGTAAAATAAATAAACCTAACTTAACCTCCCCCACTACTACCGAAAGAAAGAAAGAAAGAAAGAAAGAAAGAAAGAAAGAAAGAAAGATAGAAAGGGCTTTGGAATGGGACTAATGGGAAGCAGATGCTACGTATTGGTTTTTTGCACCTGACTTCTGCCTCCCTGAGGACTGGGAACCCCCCAGAATCAGAAACCTGGTCCGAAAAAGAAATTCCTCCTTCTGTTCTGTATCCTTGTCTGTCCCACACCTCCTGCCCCCACCCCAGGAAAGAGGGGAAGCCAGGAATATTCTCCTAATGAAGGGGTAAAAAGCCTCAGTCCCTCCAGCGTCTTCCACCCAACACCCTCACTGGCTTGTTACTTAGTGTCTCACTACCTCCTTTGTTGGCTCAGTTTCAGATGTCTACTTGGCTGAGGCTGGGCTTCTTGGAGCATCAGTAAGAAAGAGAGCTCTATTCCCAGGGGAAAGACACAGTTCTGCCCTCAGGGAACCACCAATCTAATGGGCTTGCCCTCAGGAGCATCTCTTCCGATACAGTAGGCAAAAATACAGATGATAATGAAATTAACACTTAATGAGCATCGACCATATGCTGGACATATTTCCAGGGCTTCACTCATGTGCCCTTCACCACAACCTTATGAAGTAGGTACTATCATCATTCCCTTTTTTCTTCTTTTTTTGGGGGGGGGGGTGTAAGTTAAGTTTATTTATTTATTTATTTTTGGAGGAAGTACTTGGGTATTGAACTCAGAACCTCTGCATACTAAGCATGCACTCTACCCTTTGAGCTATATCCTCCCCCGAATCATCCCCTTTTTAAGATAGGGAAAGGGAGGCACAGAGAGCTATGTAACTTACTCAAGGTCACACAGCAAGTAAGTGGATGTGAACCCAGGCAGTCTGGCTCCAGAGTCTGTATGATTAACTGCTGTGTTTTACTGCCTTCCGAAACAGCTGTCAGAAGCATTCTAAACAAATGCTAACAGCAAAAGACTACAGCACAGAGTGCAAGATGGATGGAGTGGATTAGAGTAGACGTGGCATTGATAGGAATCTGGGCCCCAGGCCTCCACATAACTTTGGCTTCCCAGCCCCTTCTCTGGCTGCCCTGGACTGCCCACTGTGCCCACACTGAATAGGGAGCTTGGCTTCCCCCCGTGTCGGCTGTCTAGGTGCCAGGTGTGGCATCCTCTGCAGTCATCCCAAGTGTGGGCTGAGCAGTGGCATGTGAGTCCTGCTGCCTTCTTGCCCCACACTTGGAGAGACCAGATCCGGAGAGCCAGGATCTCCATCAAGACTCCACAGTGCAGAGGGAAGTCTGGTCCAGAGGACAGAGCCTGAGTCCTTCTTCAGGATGTGCAGCTCCAGAAGTGAAGATCAAGACAGGGGAGAGGGTGGGGAGAGGCGAGCCCATCTGCAGTGGGGCTGGCCAGGATCATTTCACATCTTCAGTCCATCCAGCTGTGCTCCTTGCTGGCTCTGTGGCCACTTCCCCTTCCTCAGCTCCAGTTTTACCAGCTATTCAGTGGGGAAGGGGAACTCATTGAATTGTGAAGCCCATTCCAGCTGGAGCACTGGAGGAATCTAGAACCTCTGGAGTCCTTGTCCATGGTCCTCCGCCCAATGCTGGCATGACTTCCAACCTTCCAGAGTTGACACTGTTTCCAGGCCTATGGGCAACAGCAGAATCTCAAAGTCTGCAGAGACGAGCCAAGTGAATGATATTGGGCTCTAGGAGAGCTCTGTCACCACCCAGAGTGGGGATGAGGCTCACCCAAGGACACACAGCTAGTAAGTAATCCAGCCGAGACTTAAGCCAAATACAGTTGCTGCCTACTACAGATTTGGCCCCCTGTACCATAGGCTCAGGACTCCAGGAAGGTGGAGGTGGGGGGAGAAAAAGAAGGTGCTACCTGGGAGAATCTATGCAGAGGACACTTGCAAAAGAAGAGACACAGAAATGACTCTAGGCAGAGAGAAACAGATGTTAGCGTGGGAAAATCATTCTCCCTGCCTCCCCAACACCTGTGAAGTCAAAGAGCACGGTGTCTGCTTGCCAGGTGCCTCCTGGCCTGGCAGATCAGAAGCCCAGAATCAGAGCAGACCCTGTGTCCTCCTTGGAGGGCCTCCAGGCCCTGTCTCCTACTCCCCTGGCCCTGGAGAACAGTGCTACCTACCCCAAAGAGATTGTACCCAGGGACTGCTGAACCCAGAGAGACCCCCCACAAAAGGGCTCTTGGATTAGATACCACGCAGAGGAGTCCTCAGATTTAGTAAAACCCCAGAGGGGACCTGGGTTCCAGAGAAATCCCAACACTCACACACACAGGGGCCCTTACTCCCCAGCTGCACGCCTCCCCTTCTCCCTGCCAGCACGAGGAGCGCACAGATAGCTCTGGTCAGGCCTTCTGCTTAGTCCCAGACCTCTCTTCTGGCCCCATCATCCCACGCCCAGAGCCAGGATCTCTGGTCCCTCACATCAGGCTTCGTGCCTCGTCCTTTCTCTCCTCCCCACGCCACCCCTTTCTCTCCTTCCCCCCAGCCTTTCTCTTCTCCATACACAGGAGAACATCCTGGCCTGAGGGGCTTCCCAAGCTTGGTAACCAGACATGCCAGCATCACTGGGGAAAAGTGGGGAAGACCCCCCCTCTCCCGGAAAAGTGAGTGGATCACAAGAGAGGAAGAGGAAGAGGAGTAACTCCTGTCTCCATTTCCTAATCTGAAAACTGGGATGATAACTCCACCAAACTCAGAGGAATGTTATGGGAAGCTATACGTAGTACAGGCTTCTGGTTATACTTCATTTAATAAATACATATGGAAAACCATCATTGGATATTAGTACCTGTCCACCAGATCGGTAAAAATTTTAAATATCGACAACACCAGAATGTGGAGTAAGGGGACTCTCCTGCAATGCTGGTAAGAAATCAAATTTGTATAACCCCTCGGGAGCAACCAACGATTCCACCCGGAGAATACAGCCAATAGAAGTGTCTCTGTGTGTGTATGTGGGTGTATTCCAAAACCCATGTGTAAGAGTATTCATAGCAGCACCATTCAGCCAAACGCTGGCGTCAACAGTAGACTAGATAAATCTACAATTGAACAAACTATCACTACATCCAACAACGTAGATCTATCACCTATTGAACAGATTACTACTGTATGATTCTATTTCTATAAAAAACAGCCCAAACTAATCTATGGCTTTAGAAATTAGGATAGAGGTTACTTTGGGGGAGAAGGAAGGGGTCTTATGGGAAACAGGAAATGCTTATTATTTAGTTACATAGTGTAGTGAACATTCATTGAGCTAAACATTTGTTTGTTTGGTATGTATGTTATGCTTTCTTTTTTTTTTAAGAAGAAACATTATTGTTTATTTTTTTAAAAGAGCGCTGGTTCTCAAATCAGCCTGCCTGCACTAGATTCCTGGCAGTAGATAGAGGGTAAGTTAGCTCACCTCTCTGCCTGAGTGTCCTCATCTTTCCTCTTTAGTGACTACTATATAGGGTGGCTATAATGATTAAATGAATGAATCTGTGTACAGTGCTTACAGTGGTGCCTGCCACTTATTAAGTGGCCAGTGAGTGTCAGCTATTAGCCATGACCAGCCAAGTGAGTGAGAGTAAGAGCCTGAAGCCAAAATGCCTGCACTGAATTCTGGATTTGCTATTTACTAGCTCCGTGGCTTTAGCCAAATGACATCTTCCCTCTTATCCTTAAATGCCCTCTGTCGTAAAAGAGGGGTAACCAGCCCAGCCTGATAGAGCCGTGCAGGAACCTACAGAGACAATCCATGTAAAGCACTTTGCACAGTACCTGGCATAGATACATATTAGCCGTGACTATTGGTTACCATGACAACCCTATGAACCCATTTTATATGGGACTCCAGGTGGTAAAAAGACTGGCTTAAGGTCACATGCAACTAAATGTGATTTAAACCTATTTGTGTGATGATGGAGCTCCAACTGGCACATCCCAGCCTTGGAGAGTTTTTCCCAAGCCCCCAGAAGAGTACCTTCTCCTCCTGCCAGCCTGCCCTTGTCAGGGCTCTGTGTGCCCAGAGGCTTTTGTGACTTCTCTGCCCACCCAGCTCTGGCACTGGTCAGATAGTCTGGTGCTCCAGTCGAGGTGCTGGGGATGCAGCCCCGGCTGTAGGAGGAGAGGGTCTCAGAGAGAAGCCACAGTGCTAACCAGGATTTCCATGCCAGGGGCCTCTTCTGCCTCAGTCTCTGACTGTCCTTGTCCTGATAGGTAGGGGTAGTCCTAAAGATGGCCAGTTAGGGCTGGAGGGAACTTGAGGGCAGAAGGAGAGAGCTGTGTGGACCCAGAAATAAGGTCCATCCTGTCAAGAGACCCTCCTCCACATAACCCCAGCCTCCCCTCCTGAAGCCTGCATTCCTCCCGCACTCATACCCTCCTCCCTCACCGTTTCCAGAGGCTTGATATTTGAAGCCAAGAATCCTCAAGATCTGTGCAGTCTGTTCCTCACCCCAACCCAGTCATGACGATCTAAAGAGCAGCAGAGGCTGGGCCTGAAGCCAGGGGAAAACCAGACAGCTCATGATGGAGAAGAGTTTGCCCTCAGGTTGGGGTGCCCAGGCTGTAGGGCAGACAGCTCTTGCAGTCAGAGCTTGGGGTTCAAATCCTAGCTCTGCCCTGATTCACCATGCACTGTGGGCTTGTCTCTTTGCCACAATGGTTCTCAGTTTCCTCATCTGTAAAATGGGGATGCCAGTCCCTACTTCTGTCTGTAGGGCTAGAAGGAGGATCAAAGGAGACTATCTATATTGGTGAAGGGATGTAGATCCCAGGGAATAGTTTACAAACTAGTGGCTCGATGCTCTGTCAAATCACACTGACATTCAGCCTCTACTGAGGGTCTCCCCACCAGCAAACAAGGAAGCAAGTATGGAGTAGGGGAGGGAGGAAAGGGTCTCACGCCCAAAGACATGAGCAGGGAAACAGATGATGTGGGTAGAGGTTCACAGCACCCCATGCTATTCATCCCTTTCAGACCCTACCCTAACGCCTTCTGCAATTCTGACACCAATTCTGATACCAATTCTGAGGTGTGATTTTTCCAATACCACCAAACAATTCTCTAACAGCAGCTGGGTGTCCTACAATTTACTCAATTCTGACTTTCCACCTGGTTAAGGGTGGATCCTACAGGTTAAGGGCTCAGTCCTACCAGACGCACCCCCCCCCACCCCTGCCACCTTCAGATGCCAATCACAAGTCCAGGTTGTCACCTGGGCTTCTGACTGACCAGCTATATATAAGAGGTTCCAGTGACCCCCCCCTTAGATTCGGTTAAATTGCTAGAGCAGCTCACAGAACCCACAGAAACATTTTACTTACTAGATTACCAACTTATTACAAACGGATGTAACTCAGGAAGAGAGACATAGGGCAAGGTATGCAGACAGGGGTGTGGAGCTCCCGTGCCCTCCCCCACCGAGCCACTCTCCCAGCACCACCATGTGTTCACTAATGCAGGAGCCCCCCAAACCCCATCCTTTGGGTTTTAATGGAGGCTTCATTACATTGGCGTGATTGATTAAACTGTTGGCCATTGGTGATTGAACACAATCTCTGGCCCTTCTCCTCACCCACCTCCGGAGGTCAGGAGGTGAGGCCAAAGTTCTAACTCTCTAGTAGCTTTCTGCTCCCATCAGGGCTCTTGGCTTGACCCCACTGCCTTCCCCTCCCACCCCAAATACACACACTCCCTTCTGTGGTTCACTTCCACCCCTCCTGCCTCTCCTTCCACGTATAGGATGGAGTTCAGCCTCCTGGTCTCTCTGGTTGCCGAGGGTTTCCAGAACCCCCAAGACATCAGGGATACCCTAGCCATAAAAATTCGCAGGACCACACTGGACACCTGGAGACTGGAACTGATGGGGAAAACAGGCCTTCCTAGACAGCAGGGCAACTCTGGCCCTCCAAGGCTCCCAAGCCCACATGGGCTCCCGTAGAGCTCAAAGAGTTTCCTCCAGGCCAGCCAAGCCAGCCAAGCCAGCCAGGTCTGCCCACCCCAGCTCCTACACTCCTGTATCTCAAGCCCTCCTGCAACATCCTTCAACACCCTTTTTTAACTTCTTTCTGGAGACTCCTCACTTATCACTGAGGGTTTTAGCCATCCTTTTTCTAGTGGTCCTATTGCCACAACTAGAATGTGAGTTACTGGACGTCAACAGCTGTGCCTTTCTCTCCTCCCCTTCTCTTTATTTCTTCACTCTCGCCCTCCCTCCTTTTCTTCAGCGCCCCACCTCCATCCTTCCCTAAGCCCTTTCCTACAACAAATGCTGCTCACATGTAAGACACTGTACGGTCTTAGACTGGCATGTAATATATGTTCAGTGATATCTATTGTTGGCTCACTGATGCCGTGCCCCACCTCCCCTGATATCTCTCTCCCCTTGGGGTGTCTTCCTCCAGGGCTGGAGAGCTCATCTCGTCCTGTGTCCAAACCCTCTTCCCGGAACAGGGAAAAAAGGGAGAGAGGCTCCATGGGTGTCCCACTTTGGTCCCTTAGGTTTGGAAGGGCTTCCTGGAGCCCCAGGTCCATCTAGAAAGGTCATCTATGATCAGATGGATCTCCCTGAGAGAACAAGACAGAGCGCCCCTTCTTCATGACCTAGCTCCAGTCGTGGGGCACAAGCAGAGGCATTTCCTTTCACTTTAGTGTTTGATTGCCAGGCCGTCCAGATGGAGCCCTGCACTCCTGCACCAGGGGTTTTGCCGCTGCATATGCTGCCCTCAGGTGGACAATGATAGTACTGATAGCACCATTCCCAGAGAGCCTCCTGGGGAACGGGCGTTGTGTAAGGGGCTGAGAATTCCAAAGGTGAAGGCAATCCCTGCCTTCAGAAGGGCTTGGGTCAGAAGAGGGAGATTTGCAGGTAAATACAGTACAGTCAGTGCTGTTTAATGCACTAGATGCCAAGAAAACAGAAAGGAGCCAGAGTGGTTATGGAGAGTTTCAGGGGCAGCGACACTGGAGCTGAGTCTTGAAAGATAAGTAGAAATCCATAATCTTTTTTTAAAATACCTTTTAATTTTAGTCTTTTAAAAAATTTTTGTTTATTTTGGTTTTGTTTTGGGGGGAGGTAATTATATTTGTTTGTTTGTTTGTTTTAATGGTGGTACTGGGGATTGAACCCAGGATCTTGTACAAGCTAAGCCACACTCTACCACTGAGCTATACCCTCCCCTTTGGTCTTTTTTTAGCAATTCTTTTTTGTTTGTTGCTTGGTTTGAGGTGGGGGGATGGTAATTAGCTTTGTTTATATATTTGTTTATTTATGATGACCTGCCCTGCTCCAGGGTGACTAGGTAAACTGTACTAGGGATGACAATTCAGGTCACCTGACCATCAAAAGACTCAGTCCAACTCTGCTTCCCCTTCTTGGTGTAAGCAGCCAAGAGGGCAGAGAGGCCCAGCCTTGGTCTCTATTATTAGATGGGCGTGCTTCCCTGACCTGCTCCCTTTACCACCTCTACTCTGTAGGGTGTAGAGGAAGGATGTGGGGAGCTGGAGAGTCTGAGGATGATGGAGCAGGGAGGGGTTCAAGACTGTGTTTGCTCAGGTTTTACTGACCCAACCTCCAGCAGGCATAGAAGCCAACTCTCAGCCCCAGTGCCATCAGCAGCCACTGGTGCTAGAGAGGGGCAGTCCAGGAGTCTTAGGGCCTGGGCAGAGATCTAAGGTCAGGTCAGGAGGTCGGGGGGGCTGTGGTCATATAAGGAGTGGAAAGAATCAGATACCATCTTCCTCCTTCCCAGAAATCATGGCCGAGCCTAGTAGGCTTGC